CAGGATTACTACTCATGGACCCAGGTAGACGAGTCACTTATGGCACTCAAGCAAGCAAAATTTTTCTCCACCCTTGACCTGGCTAGCGGTTATTGGCAAGTCCCAGTAAGAGATCAAAATTGTGAAAAGACTTCTAAGGACCATGCTAAGCATTTGGATCGGATGCTGGTGAAAAATACAAAGAATTCCAGGGGCAGTAAGCTGAAGCCCAAATGGGAGTGTATCCCTTACTGGGCTGAAAAACAGCCCTGTCCACCAACATGGTCTCAGAGGGGCCCAACCCTGTCAAGAGATGGCTCCACCACAGTCTACTGAGACCCTGTGTGTTAAGTGGTAGCTGCTTCACCAGGCCAGCTGGAAACCGAGAGGTAATAGACCCTGTGGATATTTCACTTATGCAGAATGCCCCCATTGAATCATTCCTGCCTCCTCTTTTGCTTGATCCTCCAATTCATGCAGACTCGAAGGCAGAGAACCACAGGTACAGCAACTATGGATGATCCGATGACCCTTACAAGCTCAGCAGACCTGTTCTACAAGTCTGAAGAAATAGTCCTGGGCCTTGGTAAAGGAGGTATAGAGGGCTGAAGTGACCCCTATCCGCCTGTGGCCCTGGAGTCACCATTAGTTGATCACTTGCTACGTGACTCCACAGAAGACACTATTGTTTGCAGCCCTCTGCAGTCCCGCCACAGGCAGCTCCCTGCAAAATACTCTGATTATATTTTTTGAACTTGTCTCTTTCCATGTTGTGCCTTAACAATGTAATTTGCAGTTGTCATGTTGCTCTTGCGATGCTGAGGACAGTATCAAGGGGGGAGAGGGGTAGGCTGGTGTAGTCTACTTTCTCCACTGCAAGTGGTGCTCAACCACAGTGGCACAGCAGAGGGAGAGGACGTAAAGAGGAACAATGCTCCTCAATGGTTTCCTGGTTCACTGAGGAAGCTATCCAGTTGGATGCTGGATGCTGTCACCCCATGTGACTCTGGTGGCCATCTTGGGTCAGTGAGAGCCTTTTTAGGACCCTGGTTCCCAGGTTTGGCATGTATTTTATGTGTGGTTAGTGTAAGCACAGGTTACCCACCTGACAGAGAAAATGAGTAGTGGCAGGGAAAGGTTCCAAATGATTAGGAACAGGATAGGGACATGCCATCCTTTTCTGGAATCCTCCCATTTGGGTACAGTCCAGCCAGGCCACATTCCGTCCTCAGAGACAGATGCTGTCGACACATCCTAGACCTTCTCCATTGTACACTGCTGTTGCAACCTGTGAGTATTCCCGGACTGGTGCCTTCCCGCTGGGCTGTTTGTAAAAACTTGACCATTAAGTTCTGTTACTGCAACTGGACTCTGTGTATTCACTGCCACCGCACCATGCTGCACCTCCTAACAAGCCAGTTCAAAGGCTGGAGCTTAAATACCCTATTGACCAGAGGACATGCCCTATGTCATTTCTGGGAACTCTAGAAGGTCTGGCAGGGATTCTGAAAATACCATCGGAAATCCTGACAGGGATTCTGCGAGTACGATTGGAAGTCTCGGCAGGAATTCTGAAAGCAGGCATTCTGAAAGTCCTGGCAGGGATTCTGAGGGTACCGTAACAACTGTAGTAAATCCAAAAGTTCATTTGGACTGCAATGAAAGCAGTATCTGTTTAGATGGATGGCAGAAGTTGGAGACAATAGATAGTGGTAATAGACTACCACTCATGAAAGGTTTCTTTAAAACAAAAGCATCCAAAACTGATATTTCCGTTCTTGGTAAATGCCAAGATCATACAACAGACTCTAGCTTCCCATATTCTAAAGTGCTCTGAGGAGGCAAAATCTCTCCTTAGGATCACCTTTTTTGACAACAGAGGGGATAATGTTGGCTGAGGCAGGTTAATCCTACCTAAAACTGAAGGAGATAGTTATGTCCTTATTGATGGGATTGCAGCAACAGAAACATTTTAGGTGTTACCACCTCAAACTAATGTAGTAGAGAATGGTAAAATTCCATGAACATATAGTGAAATTTCTGAAAGCACTATCTATTGAGGTACTATCACAACTGTTTACCTTGTACACATACAGTACAATGACAAACTACACACAAAAAGCATTTTCTTAAAAATTACTGCATATTAATACAATTCTTCACATTTAATTGATTTTTTTACATGTATAGCAAAAAAGATATATAGTATATACAATCCCTTTATACAGACTGTTGTCCTTGCAACAATTAAACAGTTTTGGATGGATTCAGCCTTTAAGAGAAATAGGGTAAAAAAAAGTCAGGTTGGACTTTGTATACTTCCTGTGTGTATTAAACAGAATATTTCCCAATTATTATACTGTACAATATGGAAAGTGTACCTGTCACCAGTGACATAATATTTTCCACTGAGCTCAGTATCCCACTTTCTCCTACAGTTTGTATGAAAATCTTGTATTTGTGATATGGTCTCAGGTTTGTAATAGTAGTTGATGTTTTGTTCTTTGCTTCCATTAAGGTCAAAAATATGTTTTCTTTCACATCAACGACTGTCAGCTTATATCCGCACAAATGTTGATCAAATGAGTCTGCTGGCGGATCCCATTTTAAAGCTAAGCTCGATGAAGATATTTTTATAGCTGTCAGATTTTTAGGATACAAAGGTCCTGGCAGAATACAGCAACAGAATATGATCAGAAAACACTATAAAACAGCTCCAAAGATTACCTATAAACACAAATTTCCAGAGCTATATTTTCTTCTACAAATATATCTGTCATGGTTCATGATGCTGCAGGTATGCGATAATGTATTTATAAATTACCAGCGATAATTCAAACCCAGGGTTTCATTTTATCTTAACACCTTCAACAAGCCTCAGTTGCAAAGTTTACAGCAGTATTTCAAAGACAAAATGGGATGGCAGTAAAATATCATCTTTCAGTTCACATATTTTATGTTTAAATAAATAACTTCTGTCTAAATAGCTCATATTTATAAATCTCACCACCAATTACATGTGTAAAGACCAAATTGGAGAAAATATGCTCCATGTTTAAATTCTAATACTCAGTTGGAAATTCCAAATATTATTACAACAACATAAACAGCATTAAAACCATGCTCAAGGCTAAACATTTTTTTTAGTGTTGGACAGAATGCTGAAATTATAGATTTTCTGCCAGGTTTTTAAGAGTGATCTGTGTCCTGTGAGGGGGATACTCTTCACTAGCCAGCTTGCAATGGGGACAACATCTGCAACAAAGCACTCATTTCATTGGTGAATGGTTAAAACAGAGGTCTCCAAACTGCAGCCCATGGGTAAGATGAGGCCCTTTGCTTGCCTTTAACTGACCTTATGGGTACTATTCCTACCACTGACACCAATGATGGGCAAATATTCTTCAAAATTACCCCAATAATAGGAAGTTATACCTCCCACTTAGTAGCACTTCAGAACTTTATTTGAAGATATTGCATATTCAACTGATTATGAGCCTACTGTATTAAAATATTAGGTTAAAATGGTCTTGTGTAAACTTAAAGTTTCCAATAATGTTTACAAGCATTCTCTTTTACATGAAGGATAAGTGCAAGACTACCAAAAATAAATAGGCAGATGATATGTCAGCACTTGTGCTTCTATGGAAACCTGCTTAATGACTTGCTAGAATCTCCTGCAGTAGAAGGTGAATATTTTGACTCTGAAAGGATAGAGGAGGTCTAGAAGAAGCATATTTATCTTTGGGAGTAATCTTACACACATCTTTAATTTTATGAAGTTGACTGTTAAAGGAAGCACAGACTAGTGTGAACCTGATTGCTGAAGGAAATTGCTCTCTTTCTAGTGGCCTCAACTTAATATGTCATTGGTTCAAATTGCCATTCATACAGATTTCCTTCTAGTGAAGGCTAGTGAGCTGTTATTACATGTGTACATTCTCTTTTTGTATATATATATATGTATATATATATATATATATATATATATACACAGTATATTCTGTATATGTATAAACGTACTTGTCTGTATTGGAATAATTGGGCTCAAATTATACTGTGATCCTTCACTGTCCTTCATGCATAGAATAATATGATATATTTGTGCTGGTCTCAGCTTCTCCAATGATGTGAATGTAGAATTTGGGTTCACCCTTTGAAGATACTCATATTTGTTGTCTGAATAATATTTGATGAATAGGTAATAGCCTTTGTGAGAATATTCAGGTAAATTGTCCAACTGAAATAATACTTCATTTTCTGTGACAGCTTCCAGAACATATGTAAAGTTTTCTGGAACTTCTGGAACTGCAAGAGTAAAGAAAAAGGAACTGAACAATCATTTACATTACATTTATTCCAGCTTTCCTTATCAAGGTAAATTGCAAGTTTTTTTAGATTATGGTTAGCACAATACCCACATCTCATATTTCATTCTTACAATATAATTTATAATACCTATAATACCTAAAACAAAGTACAGAAAATCATACAATCATTACAAACTGACTCAGTAGAATGAAATGATACAATGACCTTAACAATACAAAAAGTGAAAAAGAAAATCTGTTATATTCTGTATATACAACAACCGGTGTAGCAAAAAAAAAAATATTTTAATAAAATTTAAACTGCTGTTTTCAAGTTATTAACTCAACTGGATGGCAGTGTTTAAATGTTTATATGTTAGCTGAAGTTACTAGACTTTTCAGAATTTAAACATAAATTCCTGGCAGAAATTTGTATATAGGTTTGGATAGTCTGGGAAAAAGGTAACATTTCTTTTTTTGTGACACCCCCCTTTTTTCAGTACTTTTACCTTTTTACCATTTTTTAAGTTGGTGGCAGGGTCTCTTTTTAAAGGAATTTTTTTGTATATTTTTAGAAAATGCAAATAGTATAATTATTATTTCTTATTAAGAGGCCATTTTCCCGAAGGAAGGTTTTGGTGTGATTCCCACATTTTACAGCTGTTAAACACTTGATAAACAATAAAAGCATATACAAAATTCAACAATATTCTACTCACACTCATATTCACAAAGGTATGGTAAATCCATCTGACAAAAAAATGCTGTGTAAAAATAGTTTGGACCAGTTGCGTTTTGCTGCAAAGCATAACAGTCTGTTTCATTCTCAGGTAAATTTGACAACAGTGGAACTTCAGCGGTCCCTAAATCATAAGAAGATCCATCTGTCCATACTAATTCTCCTTCAGCCTATAAAAATAATGTAGATGTACACATATTAATGTACAAGTGCCACATTAAATTTCATATCTCATTTAACAAAATCAAGTCAACCATTTTCTTCACCTAAATGTTTTTTTTATAGTTTGGATATAGAGTCAATATACTGTGTCAATATCTGGTGCAGTATTGTGTAGTAAGTGAAGACATTCAGTGGCTGTAATAATAGCATTCTAATGTTTTGGAGTATTCAGAGTCCTTCCCAAAAGGTACATCATTGTTATGAAAAGTTCACTGGTATTAAAACGTAACAACTTTTTATTCAAGTGCATATCCAGATCTATGCACATGAAATAGCACACACCTTTAAACACTTGATGTTCGATATATCAACAGTAAATGTGGAGGAACTTTCAAGAAAGACTGTAACTTTACTGCACGCACATGAAAGAATGTATAAAGCTTTTTCAAATGTCAAACATGCCAACCAAGGACTATAACCAGCTAGAGGTGGCAAGGAAGCAGGCCCTGTGCTATGTTGATATAACTTGTAGGCCTTTTAGCAGTATACAAATGTTTCAAGATTGGGCTCAAGAAATAAATTTCTCCACCTCCTTTCAGAAAGCACCTATAGAAAGAGTGGGAATGTGTGGGAAGGAAAAATCACGCTCAAGAGAGTTAAAAAAAAATGAGGCACTGGATTTCTCATCCTTTCACTGAGATACAAATTGCATAAAATTACTAAAATAAATTACCCCTCCATTTTTCAACTTGATAAAAAATGTTCAAGTCAGTGGTCAGTTTCTTGCCAGTCACCTCTGAAATAAGCAGTTCTAAAGTTATATTTAGGAAGGCAAATTTTAGCAACTACTGTGTAGACAGTATGTATGTACAGTATATATGTATCCATAACAACAAAGTGTGGTGCTACAACCACTATACTTATTATAAGATGTAGCAAAGTTCCACCTTTGCCAAGATCCAGCTGGAGAAGCTGTCAACATATACATCCAAATAGAGAAAGGTCAGCACCCAGGAATTTGATGCAAATAAAGTTCTTTATTATATACACATAGGAATACAAAGGGATCCTATACACAACAGATTCTGATGCGTTTCCACCCTTACGAGCCTTGGTCATCATCAAAACTAAGGCCCGTAAGGGCATAAACGTGCCAGCATCTGTTGTGTATAGGATCCCTTTGTATCCCTATGGGTATGTAATAAAAAAACTTTTATTTGCCCCCAGCCTTGGCAATCCTGAACTTAGGCATAGATGTATTCCTGTCTATGTATCGGATAGTAGTCTCACATATTCTGCTTGCAGCACAGGTAGTTATCACCAGGAACTGGAAAGTCAATTGGCCCTTAACCCATCTGAGGCTTTAGCATTGATACAACAAAATTATGTTCTTGAACAACTTAATACACCTCAATAGGCAAGTAAAATTATTGCATCTTGGAAGATATAGTTGGATTGGTCTAAATTGCAGACTAGTGCTGGTATCAGTTTGTAACAGTATAAATTTGAGATAATACAGATTGTTTGTTAGGTATAAAACACTGGAAGAGGATCTCTTTTCATGTTTATTCTTGTTTTCTCTCTATACACCCATTCATGGGTTATGTTTCTATGCTTTTTTCTATTTGTAATGAAAATCTTTCAATAAAAAGTTATATTAAAAAAACCAAAAAAAAATATTTTATTTCCATTGCCAAACTTTCTCTATTTTGATGTACTGTATATATGTATGTACTGTATATATAATGTGTATGTATACCTGCTGAATGTTTAAAAATCAGCTATAATTACAGAAATTGCATTTTAAATCCCATTCAATATTAGGATAGTGTGCACATACCATCTGATCAGAAAGGCCACTCCATAGTAAGATTATTTCATTTTTCATATGCAGTAAATTACTTAAATATAGTTGTTCACCTGTTGAGTGAACATTTACAAGATGGGCTCCAGGGTGTAGTGCTTTACAACTGTTTTCAGCATTATGCCAAGGCTTTATATCCATGCTGAGTCTATAGCAACTGCCCTTGAATGCAGACCAGCCCTCAGAGCAAATTCCTATAGAAAATAGATAATACATGACACAACTGTAAATTGTTGTAGAACAGTAGTGGGAAAAAAGAGTAACACAGTTAAACATCCACTTATAGTGGAATGATACTTTATTCCATCTGAAGTCCTCCAGTCTAGGGTTGCCAACCGTCCATAAATTTATAGACAGTTTGTAAAAATCATCTGATGTAAATGTCTGCTACGGACGGCGGCTGGCTATAAAAAATATGGCCTCAGGTTGGCTTCAGAACTGCACATTCGTAGTTTTGAAGCCGTCTGGGCTCGGGTGGGCTCAGACTAAAGTCAGACTTTGAGAGGGGGCAGGAGGCCGGTGGTGACGTTGTGCCTGGCAAAGACAAAAAACACCACTCCAGGATGGTTCCCTCTACACCAAGATTGACATACTTGATACCGAGGTGGTGGCCCTGTCTGCACAGACTCCAATGGCAAAGAAAAGTTGGTTGCATTTCAAGTAAAAAAAAAATCACCTTTATTAAACTTCTAAAAAATTCTTCCACAAACACATAACAAGTAACACAGTACTCCAGCTAATGCGCTTCATACTCCATAAGCACTTAGTCATAGCTGGTGAAGTTGTGGCGCCACTTGGCACAGTGGTGACTTTTTTAAACTACATCAAAGGGAGCTGGGATGGGAGTCATGCCGGGGCACTGCACTGGGTTGGAAGTCACACAATGAGCCAGGAGCACTGCTGGAGGTCAGTACATTCTAACAATACTTGTCCAGGGAGTCACACGGGAGCTGGGAGTGCTATTGGACTTCAGTTCATGCTTTCTAACAGTACTTGATACATAATAAAAGGGCAGATCTTGTACAAAAGAAAGGAATGATTTAAGGCTTTTGATTGTTGCTGGGGGTGTTTCATTTAATGGACAACCATACTAAAAGGGCACTGGTAACTGTACTAACAGGGCACTGATAGGAAATATAGTGTAGGGCTGGCCAGTGACAAGAAATGGAAAGCACACAGGCTACTGAAAAGAGACAAACAGCAGAGTGGGCAATGACAAGAGTTTCAGAGCACAGCAGGTCACTGAAAGGAGACATGGAGCAGAGGGGGGCAGTGAAAAAGAGAAACAGAGTACAGTGGGCCACTTATAGGACACATGGAGCAGAGCTGTGCAGCGGCAGGAGATGAAAGCCTGAGGAGTGCTATATATTGGTACTGCTATTTAAGAATTTGGAATTTAGGATACAGAATACACAGTGGAGTGATGCTATTGGGCATAAAGGGGCAGTGCTATAGGAAGGAATGCAGAAAGAGGAGCGGTGCTATTGGCAATGGGGGAATGCAGAAAGAGGAGTGGTGCTATTGGGAAAATGGAATGCAGAGGAGTAGTGCTATTAAGATTGGGAATGGTGGAATGCAGAGAGAGGAATGGTGCTATTAGGAATGCAGAGGAGTGATGCTATAGAGATGCAGAGAAGTGGTGCTATAGAGATGCAGAGGAATGGTGCTAAGTTTGCGGAAGGTGGTCTGTGGTCTCTAGAGTCCCCTCCCCCCCCACATCAGAGTATCCAGTGTTCTCCTTTAAATCAGTGTCCTCAGAGTTCACCCCTATATCAGAGTCTTTATTGTCAGTGCACTTGAAGGGGGAACCCTGCGTAGACTGATATAAAGAGGAACTCTGGACTTTGATGAAATGGAGAACTTTGTGGACTGTGATGCAAAGGGGGTCTCTATGGACTGTGATGTAAAGGGGAGTTCTGTTGACTCTTGTGTAAGGGAGGGCTCAGGTGACCAGAGACCCCCTACATCAGAGTCTCCCTTTACACCAGAGTCCGCAGCATTCCCCCTTACATCAGAGTTCTCACGATCTTTGTCAGTAAGAAATTGGCGCTGTTTGTAAATTTTGGGCGTCCTGGCAGTAAATTTCACTTCGGGGGGTTGGCAACACTGCTCCAGTCTATTGATCCTACTGAAGGACACTGCAGTTATTATTTGTCCTTTCATCACTTAGTTGTACAACAGTTAGTAAAATATTTTTAAATCTCTCAAATATCATTAGGTTATGATAATGTTCACATCTATTTCAATATGAGTTTATGAATAGCTTTTTATGATAGACTCTTTTTGTTTAGGATTTTAACACAAAAGAATTACTGGGATGATATGATAAAAAAAATTGAATTTCATGAGAAACTTAAATACCTGTTATAATTGGAATGTCAATTTTCTGGGTGACAGTAATAAATCCTAAATATTGTTGTTTTAAAGTAAATACAAAGGCGTAAAGACGTCCAGGCATCAATGTGCTCCATTCATAAAAGTCACGTTTCTTCAACAAATTTCCAGAAGAATTGTTCATCACGATGGAAACAGTTATGTCATCATGGACTTTGCTCCATGAGAAGGACACGGAGGTGCTTGTCACAACAATCCCAATGTCAGAAAAACAGAAAATGTGTCTATGAAAAGAAAAACAAATAGACCCAAAAATACTTTAATGGGAAATGTGATTTCTTGAGTGGTATTTTAATAGGACATGTACATATAGAGAAGGTTTATTTAATTTTATCGGGTCATTAATCATAACAGTGATTTGCATATGTGCATATAACTCAATAAAAAACTTCATGTAAATGCTAGCAAGTTGAATGGGAATGTCATTAGTGAGATATTCTCTCCCATATTCCTAGTTCTACTCAGCTGCCACAGTCATCTCCAAATGATGAAATTTTCATAATGCAGATTAAACTCATCTTTTTAATGCATCCTTTGTGGGAGGGTGCTCAGTCACGGGTGTGTTACTCCACACAAGCTTGTATAGTCCTTTAAAAGATTTTATTTTGCAATAGCCAACATGATTCTGGGGCACTGCCATCTTTCCAAAACTTTAGTAAATTCCTCTGGGGGTCCAGCAAGACCCCACAGTTGCTGGTGAGTAGCCTCTAGGACCACAAACCATTCATTACATTATAACGCATCTCCATAAAGTCCAGCACTCCTACATTGTACAGCACAAAAAATTCACAGATATAGAAAGCCAGTGCCTACCAAAAATAGAAATTAGTAACTCATTAGAACCTTCAACTGTCTTAGGACAGATGGTCAGCCAAAACTATGACATGGTTTTTCTTACACAAAACTGAGAACTGTGAAATCAGTAAAGCATGGAGATCCAATGAATAGTGCAGAATTCACATCACACATGAAGGTGTTTTCATAAACTAAGTCATGTGCTACATTTCTTTTTTTCCTACAAAAACTACTCATCCAGTGCTCTAATCATATGTAGCACCCTCCTAGTCAGCTAGGGGGAGCTAGACCTCAATTGTCAGCTAGGGCTGAGTAGCAGCCTGGGTGTGATAGCTAGCAGGGGTCCAAATCGGGTCAAAGCTGGGAGGCTCTACAGACCAGCCCACTGGTATTTCCCCCTGCTCTAGAAATTTGGAAAAAGGTCTAGAAGCAGTTAGTGGATCTGAGGAGTGGCTGATCTGCACTTTTGAGGGATCCTGGCCAATCCCCAACAGGAGGCTTGGCAAAAGGCCAGGACAACCCTTAAAAGTGAGAGAGCCTGCTAATTTGCAGGAGAGTTTGGGTGGAAGATGTGAGAGAGACAGAAATGTAGGAGCCTGAGAGGGGCCCCAGTAGGATGGAGTCTACCTACAGGCTGGGAGCTTGGAAGGAAGAAAACGCAGACCCTCACCGGCCCTCAAAGAGAGGACCACCTGCGCAGCAGGGTAGGAGCTGCCCAGCTAAAAGGCCTGGTAGAAGCCATCGACCCACCAGCAGCACAGGAGAAGGACTGAGTGAGTAATCCTGCCCCCCCTGCACCAAATAGGGGAAGGAGAATTCTGTTGGGGAACCTGACTATCTTCATATCTGGGACTGTTAACCCTTTCAAGCAGCAGCCGCTGGATCCTCTTGCCCAGGGATTCCTCCAGACAACTGAGGAAAAACAAGATTTATCTAGCATCTGGTGTGGTACACCAGGAGAGGCTGAAGAGCTCTCCTAGAAGAGAACACTTTACCATGAACTTGTTTATAGTTGCCAGGAAGTTGTCCTCAGTTAATGTTCCATGGACACCCCTAACCCCATCCAAGTTGAAATTTCCCTAATAAAAATTCAAAATCAAAGCTTAAGGACTGGTTACTGACTCCTGGATGCAGGTCTGTGTGAAAATGCATGTTGCCTGGCTATGCAGAACTATAGGGGACCCAAAAACTCAGCAACTCCTAAAGGGGTAGTTCTACGCATATCTAAAATTAACATTTCTTTTTGGTAATTTTAATCCTTTTTTTTTCAGATTGAATTAGTAAAAAAAAAAAGCAATATGTGTAACTTTATACTATATCCCAAGTCCATGCTCTGCCTCTGTTCGTAATGTCACCCAGTGGTGTATTTAGGTTTTGAGCTGCTCTAGGCAACACAAAAATCGGATGCCCATCCCCACCCAGCGGATAGAGCCTGACACCGACCTACACCAGCCCCCCACCCGAGAGAGCCTTCCACTAACACACACACACACCCTCGGTGAAAGAGAGAAAGACACTCACCTTCACGGCTCTGGACATACCCAGGAGTGAAAACTGGGCTCTGCATACACCATCAAGCAGCCAGCAGCCTCTTTTGGATCCCACCTGATCCCCGTGCCACATAAGTCCCTTTTTCCAGGGGCAGTGCTGCCCCCCTAAAAAAATGCTGCCCTAGGCAAAAGCCTTGTTTGCCTTGTGGTGAATACGCCCCTGATGTCACCCTGTCACACAAACCTCTAACAGGTACTTTGAATGGTTTCAACACAATGTTAAATGTTCCTGCAAACAGGATGCAGGAGATAAGCAGCACCAAGATGCAACAACCAATGAAATATGCTGAAAAAATCTTTTATAAAAAATTTTAAATATTTACAATACCACATCAGTTTAGCAAACTAAATATAATTTGG